TACTTGTATAAATTACTTAATAAAGATATGAGCAAGGCCTCACCTTAAAAAAAAAAAAAAAAAAAAAAAAAAAAAAAAAAAAAAAAACTTAAAATTCTTCAAAATTAAATTATTTCTAAATACTTTACCAACTAATTTTTATTTTCATACCATATATCTCTTTATATTTACATCTCCTAATTGTTTTTCTGTAATAGTCTAGATACTCCTTCTCACTAGTATACATGTTCTAATAATACTCTTCTAATTCAACATATTAATACTTTTATTCATAAGATTATTACTAATGCTAGCCTCAATCTTACTTCATATTAACTTAACAACTTAATATACATGATTTCTTCTCACTCTTCTTTCAACCCCTTATTCTCTACTTTATATCCTTATTTACTTCACTCTATACTTAAAGGTCTTATTCCTAAACTCTTAATTCAATCTCTAAACTCTTTCAATATTTCTTATTCCCAAGCCTCACAACTAATTATACAAATACTTCTTAAAATTTCTGATCTTACTTACAATAATATATGGATTCCATATTGTACAAACTTCTCACATTGAAAGAAAGCCCACCAGATTCCAACTCACTTTACATCTAATACACCACTTCACACCTCTTTACACCAAAACCATAGAAAAAACAAAACTATTTCTACAATCAGCTACCTTGTAGCTTCGCCAATTACTTACATTCTGAACCTAATATCTGTCCTCCCCTAGGACAGGCTTCTTTAAAAATAGACATTTAGTCTACTATGTGGATTAAATATAGCACATCTATTAACCATATCCTATCTATCCAAATCTAGGTGAGTCTTGACCACTCTAGTAGGTTTAGGTCACAGATAATTTTGTCTGAGCTTTTATTCTTGCATGTAATTTATATTTATTTGTTAGTATACAAATTAAGATTTTATATAGCTTTATGTAATTACTTATATAAATTATTAAATAAAGATACGAGCAAGACCTCACCTTAATACAAAAAAAAAAAAAATATTTAATTAAATTCTTTTTTATGATTTTTTTAGTGATACAACAAAGATAAGAATTGAATTTTCTAAAAATAGATTATGTTTACTATTTATTAAATGATGGTCGGAGGTTATTTGTAATGAATTTAAAATTAAGTCATTGCCAAAATAACCCGTAAATCCTCATAGGAAGACTTTCGTATAATTGGCTGTTTAAATCAATTTAATTTTACATTATTTATACAGTTTAAAGTATTTTTTTTAAAAAAAAAAAACAAAACTACTCAGAATAAGCAAAAAAGAAGTATATAGAAAGTTTTATTAGGGTTATAGGACTCCACTATTAAAAATAATCAAAATTCCTTTTCGTTTTAGAGAAGTTAGCATAATAGCGACTTCTTAAAGATAGATAGAATTAGGTTATCACCATGCTAACTTCTCTAAAACAAAAAGGGATTTTGATTATTTTTAATAGTGGAGTCCTACAACCCTAATAAAATTTTCTATATACTTCTTTTTTGTTTATTCTGAGTAGTTTTGTTTTTTTAAAAAGGTACTTTAAGCTGTATAAATAATGTAAAATTAAATTGATTTAAACAGCCAATCATACGAAAATCTTCCTATGACGTAAATCCCCATAAAAATACACGCATGTAAAATATAATGTGGAAGGATTCTTTATCTTTACGATACAAATCTATTTTAGGTAGTGACCTGTATCAATAACGTAACAACCTATAATACGAGTTTCACAGCTTAAGATCTTCTTACCTGTATGTTAGTGAAACGTAGTATTTCTGAAATAGGAACAATAATCATTTAATCGAACCAAACTTTGTATAACTTGTAAACCAGCGTTTTTATTGTACGTACGTACGTACGTACCTAACTCCTACGTTCAACTTATGAACTAGAGAGTTATGTAAAATCTGGCAATGAGTTCTGGTTATGAAGATTGTAAATGCGGAAAACCAAGAACCGACAATAAGTGGTGCCAATCGTGTAGTTCAGATTTTTTTAAAAAACAATTCGGCAAGTGGACAAGCGGTAATGAAGCCGTTGATAAATTTATCCAAAATATTCAACTTGTTGCAAAGAGTAGTGATCAAGTATTAGAATGGGTTTCATTTGAAAAAGAAATTTTTGAAGTTGAGCATCTTGCTGTTGGCGGTTATGGGACCGTATATAAAGCTAAATGGAGGAGCGGTCCTATTAAATATTATGACGTTTCTACTCAAGTTTTGTTCAGATCTGACAAGCTTGGCGGGACCGATATTATCCTTAAAGGCTTAAAAGATTCAAAGGACGTGAATGAAGAATTTTTTGAAGAGGTATTTAATTTAGTGTATTATTATGAAACTTTTATTTGAATTAATACTTTTATTTTTTTAGATTAAAAATCAAATGACCTCATTTGTAACGCTTGGCTACATTATTAAATGTTATGGAGTTACCAAATGTCCATATTCCGATAATTATATGATGATTATGGAATACAAAGAAGATGGTAGTCTTCGGAATTATTTAGATAAGAACTTCCGATGTCTAAAATGGTCTCAAAAACTAGAGCTTTTATACACTATAAGTGAAGGTCTTTTTGAAATGCATGAAAATGACTTAATACATAATGATTTTCATAGCGGAAACATTATTATTTCTAAAGGAAAATCTTATATAACTGATTTTGGATTATGCAAAAATGTTGATTTTAAAGTCCAAGATGGTGTTCATGGCGTATTACCATATGTTGCACCTGAAGTATTATGTGGAAAACCATATACAAAAGCCGCAGACATCTATTCTTTTGGAATAATTATGAATGAGATTGCGTCAGGTTTCCCCCCTTATTATGATATCCCACACGATACTGAACTTATGATTAGCATTGTTAGTGGAGGTCGCCCACCTATTTACAGAAACATAACTCCAAAGATCATTATTGATTTAATTGATAGTTGCTGGGATGAAAACCCAAAATATCGACCAAAGGCTATTGATTTGCGTAATAAGCTTTCTAAATACAAAAGAACATGTATTGAAATTGACGAAAATCAGAATTTTGAAATAACTCCAACAGAAGCCCCTTTAAATTACAAGACATCTGAACAGGCAAGCTATATTAGTAGACTATTGCCAACGTGCAAGGTAATATTTATTAATTTTTATTATTTAGTACAAATTATCACCATATCAATATAATTTAATTTATATTTTTATAATTATTAAACCTTCTGTAGATTAATCAATAATTAAAAGATTGGTTTTTTTTTATACGTTTATGCTATTTAATAATTGTAACATAATTATTTATTCGATTCTTATTCTGTCCTTTATACACCCTGTATATTTAAGCATCAAAAATTTCTGTATTATTAGGGTAGTGACAAACATTACGTAACATTTTTTTTTTTTTATTATAATTCCTTCTCTCCCTACATTAGAGAAATGATTAAAATCTATATACTGTATATAAGGCCACACAAAGTTGATTTTCGTTTTGCAGATCTCGCCGACCCATTTTTTCAATTTTCAATTTTTTTTTAAGTTCCAGTTGTTCTATTCTGCTATTTATTTATTTATTTTCCATAAAATTATTCCGGTGCCACCCGATGAAGACCTTAATTTCCCGAAGTACCATGATAGAACTGATAGAAAAAAAATCAGATTCCATGTTATGCAAGACAAAAAATTAACATTGCGGACTTTAGATGTGAACGAGTCTGTTATTTTGCAAATGAATTTAATTAAAAAAAAAAACTTTGTGTAGCCTAAGATATCTGAGACCACCTTTAATTTTAATATTTTAAATACATTAATTAAAAAATTCTTGTTAATAATTTTTTTGTAATTATTGTATAATTATATTTTAATAAAAATTTAATTTTACAAGCCCAAAAACGAATTTAGCTATTGATTAGGAAACGTATCACTTCATCTACGATAACTTCTTGGCTAACTTATTATCGATAAACCAGCTACTGCATCAGCAAACATATATAAATGAAAGCCTATTATTTGTCTTGATAAGCCTAGCTAAATCGATAAAAAATATATGTATATATATTAAAGTTTTAACTAAAATAATGTTCAAGGATATATTGAGGGTGTTTTATTATTTATTTGTACTATATAATTTACAAAATATTTTGTTACATATTAAAATAATTTTTATAATTGTTCTCCAAAGTAAAAAGATTATTAGATGTTCAAATCAGATAATTATGGAGAAATATCTTTAAATACACTCTCCCAAATGCATGGTTTCTCTAAATGCTAGCCCAAATACAGAAAAATTTCCTTAAATGAACGATTTCTCTAACTACTCTAATGCACTTTCAAATTTTATAATTTTTGCGCTATTTATAGTTGCTAACAATAATATATAAATGATAATAAATTTCAATATTTATAATTGTGTAAGTTGCATTATCGTTCGTTTTATTTTTTATTTCGCTCTTTTCATTTAATGTAATTTCTGTTTATATGGAAAAATTAATAGCTTGTTTGACAATAATAAATGTTAATATTAATGAGAAATCTAGAAACCTTGATATTAAAATTATATTCATTATTATAAAAAAGTTTGAACTTCCACGATTAACCTGAATGAATTAAATTAACTTATATTTATACCATCCCTAGAATTTTGATGTGAATAAATTTACGGTAAAAAAAAAATGTCAGCTAATTGGATCTACTTAATACTAGTAGTTAGGCACGTTCAAAGTCCGTATTTATTAATAATTCATTTTTCTGTATGATAATGATTTAAATCCTTAACGTTAAATGCAATCCGATTATCGTTATGAATCTATTTTTCGTAAAGATAGGCAAGGTAGTAATTACGTAATTTTTTTTATCCAGTACAGCAGTACTTACATCTATGCATCCAGAAAATGTGTGCGCCGTAGTGGCTTGATAGGACTACGGTAAATTCTCCGAACTCTGGTAATAATTTTATCTCGCCATTTTTACTATAATTTCTTGTTATTCAACTGTTTAAATAATGCTCACCTGTTTTTAATTACGAAATAAAAAACATTTGCCATCCCTATCTAATTCTCATGCCTCATTGTATTAATGTTACGGATTGCGTAACTTGTTGAGTATACAGCACCCAGAAAATGTGTACTAGGTTGGGTTCGGTGAAGGTCCAGAAAATGTCTTCGAATTTTTATTTTTAATTAAGACCTTATTTTTCAATCATAACTAGTGGTGTAAACGCAATGCCGTAATTGGTCGTATTTTTTTTTTTTTTTACAAAATCTCAATTATATCGTGATCCAATAATCCAAATTAGATGAGTTTGATATCATTCGATTCGTCTCGATGTGACAAATCGAATAGTACTCAAATCATTCAATTTGAATCACTGGAACGCAATATATTCTCGAAAAGCTTCCTAATGAATTACAGCAGAATTACGGCACGTTTGCCGTAATTCATTGAATTATTATTTGCGAATTTCCCGTGGTCCAGTGATTCGAATTGGATGATTTTTGTACCATTTGATTTGTCTCATCGAGACGAATCGAGTTTATCAACCCCATCCAATTTGGATTACTGGATCACATTATAATTGAATTTTTTGTAAAAAAAAATTATGAACAATTACGGCGTTGCGCTTACACCACTAATCATAACGATAATATAAAGCAATAATTAATGCAATTTACAACACATATCTAATTCATGAATAATACAAGTAAAATTTGAATTTCGACATTATAATAGTTTAATCTTTTTAACCATTTAGTTTGTTTCTGTGACGTTCTTTAATAAATTATTGCTTTTTTTACAGTTAATCATTCTTTACGCCCTTCATTTCAGACTGGCCAATACTTTCTTTCTGAATATTTGTTGACTGTGATGAAATTTGGTAAAATAGATAAGACGATAACTTGTCTATCGACGGATTTTTTGTATCCTACTTAAACCGCTTTTTTTTTTCTTTTTTTTTTTTGCAGGAAAAAAAAAGACAACCAAAAAACATTATTGACTTTTTATAATTTAAATAATGATTAATGATAAAATTTATTTTATTAAAAAGACGACGTACGAACGTAATTTTGTTTCTAGTTCCGGTAGTCATACCATTCCAACTATAGATGCTGGTGAAATATGGTGAAATGAGGTGAAATAATTTCACCATTATTGGTGAAATTGGTGGTGAATTGGTGAAATTGGTGAAATTAATTTCACCAGCATCTATAATTCCAACCATCCTAGCATACCACTAAAAAAAAAGTTACGTAACTGAGCTTAAATTTTCTCCGAACAATTGTATATTAGCAATTTATATTGAAAGTTTACTTTACTACGATTCGAATATAAATATCAAATAAATAAGAATTTTTTCTTCGAAAAAAAAAAATTTCAAATTTTTTATATGATTACAATACTTCAATATTTCACTTGAAAAGCAAAACAATTCATTTTCATTAAAATTGATTATTAAAAAGAAAATATTTTAAATTAAAACTCAGTTACGTATCTTTTTTTTAGGCGAGACCAATTTAATTCAGTAGTTTACGTTACATCCTTCTCACAAAAGAGGGGAGCTGGAGAGAGTTTATTATAAATTTTTTTCAGAAATGATCCGCGATATTATAAAAGTTTTCCGCATATATAGTGAGGGGGGAAGGCAGAAGGGGGTAACGTAAACCACCGAATTAAATTGGTATCGCCTTAGGGGAATACTAGGTTCATCATACAATTCCGACTTAGCTTTTCGGACAATCAACCGATCCCAACCTGGTACACATTTTCCAGGTGCGAGTATACAGTACATTCAAAATTTGACAGTCAACGTTTCACTAGAGATCTTACCTAAGCGGGTCAGGTATTGACCCGGATTATAACCCGGATCAACGGGTCAAACGGAAATTCATAAAGTTTTTGAAGTTGATTTTTAAAAGTTGATTAACGACTTTTAATTAGAGCTGTTAGTATAGAGAACAGCCTGTACTCCAAATATTTAAACTGGATTTTTTTCGGATTTTGTATTGAAAATTTTTCGATCTTACTCGTTTGTTCATTTTCTATTTTGGAAAAAACGTGACCCCTCAAGAAGCCGACCAGCACAGATCAAACGACCCGAGTAAGAGCTATACTATTAAGTAATTTATAACGTCTTCTATCCGTATAATTATATTAGGCATAGAGTTCCAATCCATTAACGTTAAGCATTTATCGGATAATTAGATACGGATAAATGGATGATGGATTTATCCGGATTGGAACTCTAATTAGGAACTCATACAGGGAGATCCCAAAATTCCGGGTCGTGATGCATCGGAACCCTGGTCGGATGGGCCGGAATTGATCGATTTTGTCCAAGATCACTAAGAATTTTACTATTGAAACAATAGTCGTTCATTAAGCAAAAAATGCCCAGCTGATAATTTTACTGTAGCCCCCGCTAACCCTAACGTTAACGCTAACCTGACCCTAACCACGATGCATTCCGACAATTCCGACCCGGAAATTTAGGGATCCTCCTGTAAAAAATCTAATTACTGTAGGTGAATTGCTTAATATCGATATCGACATCGATATGCATTTTAGTAGGTCTTTTGCATACTGCAGTACTGTGTTTTGAATTCTGACCCGTTTACCCGGGTTAGAGCAATTTTCGATCCGTGACCCGTACGGGTCACTCGACCCGCGTAATAACTATTTTAGGAAATACTCCCCATGCTAATTTTATCATTAAGCAGGCCCAAATTTCTATTTTCGTAATGAATCTGGCTAAAATTATATAATCATTACGTAATCAGTATAAAGTTTACACAAGATTCAAAAAAAAAAAAATTTTAATTATTTATCGTCATTATTTATTAATTTATTTTTTTTATCTTTACGCGCGAAATTTGGAAAATCTACTAAAATATACTTATTTGTTTATATCAAATCTGCCTTATTTCACCGATAGCCGACATCTCGCCAGTGTCAATTTACCAAAATATACCTGCAACTAATTAAATGTTAACCCTATGTGATGAACTTTCAGTGAATGACTGTCGGTTAAGTGAGCAGCACCGATTTATATCTTGTCAGTTTTTTTTTTCGTTGTCTGACTAATCAGATCAGATTGTAGATCACGGAACTGACAATTTTATATCTCTGTTTAATATAGAAATATGATACTTTAAAGCATCTTTGCTATGCGAGTACGGTAATTAAAAAAGTTTATCAATTCGAAAAATTGCCAAACACTTAGGCATTAGTAGACCTTCTATAAGTCAGGATATCAAGCACTTTCGACGAAAAAGTAATATTTATATACACTTTTATGCTTAAAATATATTTTAACATTTCTTGCTAAGGTTTATTGGATGACAAGAACTGTTCTTTTATAAATTCTCATACAAACTAAACTACTTACCAAAGATGTTAGTTAGATATACATACAATGCATTAAATGTAACTTTATAAAATCATACGATTAATTTATATCAGGTGTTCAAAAAATTATTAAAATAGATGTAATACAATAAACTTAAAAAGCTTTATGGAAACGTGGAGATATTTGGCTTCGGAAAATGGTATTGCCGAATAAGTTCTTTGTTTTTGTTCTCGGTCGGAATTGGAAAAACTATCGCCAAATTCTTGGTTACAAATTTTATCTCGTGTTCACTATAAAAACTATCGGTTATACGTATATCGGTTACAATATATTAGGTATTAGTATTCGAATAAAGAAGTGATCAAACGAATCCTAATAACTCTATTCTGTGTAATGATATATTGTACGTACGTACAGTACGTAAATGATTAATTATATCATTTTGATAATAATGACAGTAATAGTTATTGTATATAAAATTACATAAGCACATGCATAAGTATGTACGTACGTACGTAATGACTGATAAAGTCGAAGTGAAAATTCGTAAAAATTTGAAAAGAAAGACGAATGATAAGCTTAGTTTAAAATATATAATAATTAAGTTCACCTAAAATCTATCCAATACATATAATTATTATATATATATATAATTAAATATATAGAATATAAACGCTGAATATGGAGGACAATTCCACTTTTTGCCAGGATAAGATCAATCCTTGAAAAAAATTTTTCTAACAGTTCCCTAATTAATTTTTACTAAATCAAGCTAATACGTAAATAGTTATTCTCCTCTTCATTGAATTAATCAAATATATTGTATATCGTCACTTTTGAACAATTGAGATAATGTCAAGCAAAAGTGAGAATTCAAATTTTATTGACATGGTCTACAATCATGACTGGTCTTCGACTCCGCTTGGTCCTATGGATACTTGGGATCCTGCCCTCAGAAATGTTGCGGTAATTCAGAATTCGTGCATGTGTTTTTAAATTCGTAAAACTTTAAACCCATTTCTAAAAATTACATGTTTAATAATAGAATTTATGTCTAAGAACTGAGTTTCCTATGAGTATCTATATCGATCCTCCAAATTGGTTATTGTTTTATAATAAAGGTAAACCGATTTTACGGTTTATTTGGCTTAATCTATTTAATTAACATAAGTACAGAATCTAAACCTATTTTCTCGTAGCTTATGCTCCAATATTAAAAGCAAAACATCCCGGTTAGCTATATCATTTAATACTATATATATGTTTACAACAAACATTTTAAATAACATGGTATCTTTATGAATGTTAAAATAGCATTAGGAAGGCCAATTAAAGATATTTGGCCTGAAATATTTGAGATTCGTATGAGTTTAGAATTTAATGGGTAAGTGATGCAGTAATTTTTAAGATTATTTAATTCATAATATTAAAATTCCCTTGAATTGCAATACTGTAATATATGTAGTGTAATAACAACCGGCCAAGGTTATTTCGGACACGATCAACATTGCATATTACAACGTGATGGATACGATGAAGATGCTTACTTTACCTATACATATAGTCCAGTTTTTAAATCCGATGGTACAATCTGTGCTATATGGTGTCTATCACAAGAAACTACTCAAAAAGTTTTAAATACTCGAAGACTTAAATTACTTGAAGATTTTGGTCATCTAACCTCTAGTTAGTACTCATATAATTTATTATCTTTATGATTTATGGAATTATATCTATTAATATATTTTTGTTTTCCATAATATTTCTCAAAGATATTGAGTCCTTAGAAAGTGCTTGCCATATTATAACAAAAACATTAAGAAACAATAAAGATATTCCTTATACACTTATTTACTTTGTAAACCATAAATTAAATACTAGTTCTGAATCTTCAATCGCTCATCTAATCGCTACGACTTTTGATGATGACGATAAAGAAAAAAGACTTATTCCTGATCATTTACCAAAAACCCATGAAGTAATTGATTTATCTAAAGATGCTAATAAGAACTATGGTACATATATAGAATTAAAACGAAGTGCTGGAACTTATTCGTTCTTAAAGTGTGATTCTTGGCCAATCTACCTTTTATTAAAAGAAGGAAAAAATGTCAAAGTTCTTTTAAATGACGAATCTCAGGCTGTACTCTTCTCGAAAAAAATTTATCTTGACAACGATCATACTATATCGGTTGTATTAATTTATGGTATTAGTCGATTTTGTGCACTTGATGATCGATATATGGAATTTTTTAACGTATGTAATATTATTTTTCATTACTTTTATATTTACTGTATTAAAAATATATTAAAAATATATTAAAAATATATCAAAAACATCTATATATTTTATAATTATTAGTTGGTCACAAATCAAATCTATGTACTTTTGCAACATGGAAAGTCCGTTGAAGATGAAAAAAAGAAAACTAGGATATTGACTGATTTGAATTGCCAAAAAATTACGTTTTTTCAAGGAATCAGTCACGAACTAAAAAGTATTAATATAAAAAATACTCTTTTAAAAATGTATCTATATAAATAAAACTAATCACCTTCTTTTTTTATAATATTTAGCACCGTTAACTTTAATGCTATCACCTCTCGATGACGTAATTAATACATGTACTCAAGAAACGTCAATAATGTCGCATCTTCAAATTATACGTCGTAACGTTCATCGATTACTTAAACTCATTAATGCTTTATTACAAGTATGTTATATACGTAAAAAAATTGCAACTGCTAATATGTAATTATCTTTATTAATATACTCCTTATAATAGTTTTCGAGTATAGAAACTAATCAATTAAAAGTACAATATTGTGAAACAAATATAGCTGAATTTACTCATGAATTGGCCTCAGACTTTAAAAGTATGGCTAAAACGTTAGATTTGAATTATAATATTGATATCCCAAATCCAGATGAATTTAATCTTGCTGTGGGTGATAAAATTTATTTGGACCGTGATATGTATGAAACAATCATATTTAATCTTTGTAAGCTTTTTTTTTTTTATAAAGTTTTATAAAGTTTTATAAAGTTTTATAAAGTTAAATTTTACTAAAATATTTAGAAAATATTTTGCTAAGATATTTTGTTTATTATTGTATTATAAGGTTCAAATGCATTCAAGCATACTTGGAATGGACAAATAACCGTTCGATTATATCTTGACTATATGGACAAGAAAAAAAAGATGGTAGTCATTGAAGTGTCTGATACAGGTTAATATATTTAATAAATTTAATTAATAAATTTCGAACTGAATTCTGGATTTAATATTTATACCGATATACATCATTTAGGAGTTGGTATTCCGGAATCTGCCCTTCCAAATATATTTCAGCGTTTTTATCGTGTAGAATCTCAAGGTGCACGTAGTCATGAAGGTACTGGAATAGGACTTGCTCTCGTTAAAGAACTTATTACACTTCACGGTGGAGATATCACTGTTACTTCTATAGTAAATCAAGGAACGACATTTAAATGTTGGTTTCCAATAGGAAGTGATCACTTATTAACAGAACAAATACATTCTAATAATGTGGAAAATCAAATAAGTAATGATCGAGAATTATACAATAATCGACAGCTTTATTTAGAAGAAAGTTCTCAATGGACGAAATATAGTGAATCTGAAACTCAAAATGTTAATATTAGTCAATATTCGATCGATATTCAGAAAGTTGAGAATGTCGATACTGATAAAATAGCAACAAACAATAGGAAATATAAAGTCTTGATTGTTGATGATAATAGTGACATGAGGTAATTTTTTTTTTTTTCAAAAAAGATCTATATTTGTGTAAAATTTATTTCTTATTGTTGATTTATTTCATAGAAATTTTTTGGCAGACCTGTTAAAAGAATTTGATGTATACTGTGCTTGTGATGGCCAAGACGCCATACGAACCTTAAAAACGCTTAAAAAATTACCTGATTTAATACTTAGTGGCAAGTAATTAATATTGTAGTTTATTACGCGTATAGTATAATATATTCAAATTATATGATTTGACCTTGATACTTAGATGTCATGATGCCAAATATGGACGGATATGAGTTATTAAGTGTGTTAAGATCTGATGTGAAAACTCAACTAATTCCTATAATTTTATTATCCGCAAAAGCTTCTGAAACTTCTAAAATTCAAGGTAAGCTTAAATTATTAAATTATACTGTTAAATTATTAGTAGTTACTTTTCTTTATCGGTTTTGTTTTAAATATATTTATTTTTAGGTTTGGATAGAGGAGCAGATGATTATTTAGTAAAACCATTTTCAACTCGAGAATTAATTTCTCGTATTCGCGCTAATATTGAATGTTCAATTCTTCGCCGTAAAATATTATTTCATCGATGTAAACAAGAAGAGATAAAGCAATTATCACTTTCAATAGCAAGCATGATTCTTTCTGAGTCAGATTTAGATAAAACATTACTTCATATTACAAAAGAAATTTACCGTAGGATACCATGTGAAAGAATCATTATTGTTTCGAATGAACCATCTAAGAGTAATAAAATAGTTGTTCCAAGTGAAAATGAATCGGAAGATTTAACACAAATAATTAATCCATTCTCGGAATTTAATGATTACAATAATAATTCACGACAGTTCACAAAGTTAATTGAAAATTCAAGCGTTGATATTTCTTTAGATACATATTGTGATGAAGTTCATAAAAATGTTTCCACATTATCTGTAGAAATAAGGTTAGATAATGATTTTTGGGGATGGATAAAAATATATAGATCTCAAAATTCTATTTGGTACGATTCTGAAGTAGAATTATTACAACAAATATCAAATCAAATAAGTTTAGCTATAACTTATGCAAACCTGTTGAAAGAGATTGGTGAAAAAGCTATTAAAATTAAAGCTGCTGAAATTGCTAATAATGCAAAGACTCAAATATTAGCAAATACTTCTCATGGTATTAATTTTTTGTCGTTTCATATACTTTTAATATTAATTATTCTTAATTTATTCTAATTCTATTTTAATCTTATTTTTAGAGTTACGCACACCTCTAGGTGCAATAGTAGGTATTACTTCTTCTTTAGAGGGTACCTCCTTAACTACTGATCAAAGGGACATGCTTAATATTATATCAAATGCTGCTGATGTCGTGCTATCTATAGTTAACGATATTCTTAATGCGGCAAAACTAGAAGCGAAAAAAATTAGTCTTGTAAATAGAACTTTTGATTTATTAAAAACAATTGAGAGCACAATCGTTATATTTGGAAAAAAAGCTGGAGCTAAAAATATTGAATCAATTGTGAATTGCGAGGTAGATAAGTTGCCGAAATATGTTAAGAGTGATCCTGAGAGGTGATTTAATATAAATGTTTTAAACTAGCATAGTAATACGTAATTCTTACTCATTTTATCTCTTATTAAAACAGGTTGATCCAAGTTTTAACCCATTTATTATCAAATTCGTAATTATTCTTTTTTATTTTGATGGCTATTATTCATCACTATATTATTTTTAATTTTTTTTTGAATAAATCTTACGAATCTTTAGAATTATTAATTTTGATGGTTTTCAGAAAAATTGTGTGGTGATGGACTATAGCAACGATTTTATTTTTTTATAACCTATAGCTATTATATATAATAACTCATTTTAATTCATTAGAGTTAAATTTACTAATGAAGGCGAAATAGTACTGACAATTTCAATACAATCACGAGAATTCATTGAAGAAAAGAATTCAACCTACGATCAAGTGGATAAAAAAGACCAGTTGTTAATTGAAATAAGTGATACCGGTACTGGGTAAGTTGCTTGTAATTATTTGTGATTATATACTTCTATTTTAGCATTATATAATTATTCAATAATACTATAATAGAATAAATCCTGAATATATTAAACATGCTTGGGAAAGTTTTTCACAAGGTGACATGTCAATAACTAAAAAGCAAGACGGTGCAGGACTTGGTCTCTCAATCTGCAAAAATCTAGTAGAAATTAATGGAGGTGAAATTAAAGTAGAAAGTCAATTAGGAAAAGGAAGTAAATTTTCGTTTACATGGAATGTTGAACTATTATCAATGATATCTTTACCAGCAGAGACCCAATTTAATGAAAAAATAAGTTATGTGTTACCTCACTCTATAAGAAAAAAACGAATACTAATAATTCACTCAGCCGAAAATGTGAGAAACTCTATATTTAAATATTTTAAAAGAGTTGAAAAAGTTGATACTTTTGATACCTTTGAAAAAGGTATTAAAGCAGCAAAAGTATTATATTATCAATTTACTTATGATATAGTCTTTATAGGCCTTTGTGAAAATAACAAGGAAGAAGTTATAAATTTTATTTTAGAATTAAAAAAATTGAATGGTAGTAATAATTTATCAATAATATTTGTAACATTTCAAAGTAATGAAAGAACTATGTTAGCAAGAGAATTGATGGGAAAATTTTTAGGAACTTCTGTTATTTATACTCCAATTACATGGAATAAGCTAATTAATCAATTTATGCATATGGAAATAAACTAATATTTGCGGCAAAAAAATGTCTTACAATATATACTTGTGTTATAAAGATAATTTAGAAAATGCAATAATAGATTTAGCAAGCAGTGTAATAATAAGTTTTTACCAATAGTTGGGGTTGAGTCAATAGAAACCAAGCAAATATTTTTTAATAAGTTTTTTTTTAAAATTTTAAACAAGAATAACTTAACAAAAACTTGATCAAATTCAATAAATTTTTTTTAAATTCTACAAGTTTGTAAAAAATTATTTAAAAAAATTATTACTAAATTTGGTTAAGTTTTTGTCAAGTTACTCTTGTTTAAAGTTATAAAAAAATTTTTTATTATAAAAAATTTGCTTGATTTCTATTGACTCACCTCCAGTTGATGTGTTTTTACTTTATGATCTGCCGAAAGAAATTATTGCGCCACGTGACCCTGAAAATGTGGTCAACCAATGCAAATAAAAAATCGCATCCTTGCCTATTACTATGAAAGAAACGGTAGAAGCCTCGATAATTAGCCTTCTAATTAGTAGAATTGTAGTATGGGATCTGTAATTGGCATAAACTGGTTGAATTTGAGGCTGTGTCAAGTTGTCAAAATATATAGCTTTCACGAAAAGCATTCGCATTACATGACATTCTTTGTATTTATTTGGCCGGAGGTGATTTTTTATTGAATGTTAGCAGAAATGTGCTAAATAAGTGAGTAGCTGACCGAATTGGCCAGAACGGCAAAGACATCTCGCGACAAAGCAATCGTAATTGCACTGGGAGTCGCTGTAGGATTATTTAGCCGGTGGGGCCATTCCCCGCCTGCCGAAGCAAGCCGGCTGTGAGAGAAGAATGCAAGCGAAGAAATGCAAGTGAGGAAATGATAGAATCATGTGTCTTCCAAAGTTTATGATTCTATCGTTTGCTCGCAGTTTTTTTTTTTTTTTGACCTGTGATGCTGAGGCCGTTTATACTCATATGATTTTTTTTTTCGTATGACATGAAGACCGAACATCTTCCAAAGAAGTTGGCTTGTATAGTGAGGTCTGATTGTTATATGCCTATGATGGTACCCATAAATTTTGATAGAATGCGAATAACCTGACGCCATGATTTTAATTACTGTGACATTAAGTGACTTGAGTTCTATAATTCAGATTGATTGTCCTTGTAATGGCTTTATGTTGTTAACCTTAGTTGCAAAGAATTTGTAGTTGTCACCATTCATTATACTATCCTGTAGTTTATGGTTAAGTGCCTATATACCTCTTTTTCTTTTCTTTTTTTTTTTTTTTTTTTTTTTTTTGATAGATCTATTTTTTACTGCTCAATGCCTATATTCATTGATAAGATTTTGTTACTAGTGAGGTGTGGTATCTTGACCTTTTTAGTGTGTAATGTGGTTGGATGTTTCTGGATTATTTGTCCCTGAATTGTCTGTACTTTATTATACTGCTTTTCTAACCATCCGGTGGTTGATGTTCTTATACAGCTATTTGGGGTTTTTTTTTTTTTTTGGTAGCTTAGTTGTATTGTATGTCGATAGTGCTTTGAATATGTGGTCATTTAATATACCTGGCATAATGTAATCTGCTTGTGATTTATTCTGATGATGATTGGGTTCCAAAGTTTGAATAACACTCATTAATTTGAATATACTTGCATAATTTGCGACTGCCTTCGAAGAGTATATTCGAATGTATTGTGGAACTCATTGGCAACCATTTTCCAAGCTTTGCTATGCACCTTGTAATACTAATTTTGTAGTGCTTCCAGAATGGAAAGTATGATCTGCTACCTTAGCACCTGGTGCTATATATGAGGTTATTTATTAATCAACTCAGTAACTAACCTTGTAACTATAGCAAAGTGTCTTCTTGGAATATATGCTTTATTAGCTTGAAATGTTGTATCAACTTTTAATATATGTACTTCAGTCATCCTTGTTGTATTAATTATATATTGGGCATTTAACTGTCTTTGTTTTTTTTGTTTTTTTTGTAGTTGATATTATAACTGAGTTTTGCCTGTTTTTAGACATAATCGATACATGCTAACTTAATCAAGTTATACCCGGTTTCAAGATAAACTGTAATACGTGGTTGTACCAATTCGACTTGAAAAATAGATTGGAGACCCATTACATAATTCCACAGGGTTATCTCATTAAGAAAGTTACTTGCAAATCCCAAATATAATGTCCATTACCGAATACTCGTAACTGTAGGGAGTTCTCTAGTAGCAAATAGAGAAATACAAACTGGTATAATAGATGTACCCTGAACATTGTTAAAAATAGTCAGTGTAAACCCATGATAAATCTATATAAAGGTTAGGATAGACATATAGAGTAGGACTATATAGTCTAATTTGTCAACTATATATAGCAATATGTATTTTATCTTAACAGTTGCAATAAACATAAATATTGTCTTCTACATATCTAAGATTCAAGAATAAGATATTAAAGATTTGGATAACCAGATCGGGGTGGTCCTCAATGTAACAACTATTCCTGATCTTCAAATCTCTATATATTCATACTCTAATTCCTCATAGCCTAAAACTATAAATAATAGCAATACACCTCTTGAAAATATCTTATCTAATCACCCCAAGCACAATACTTTTAAACAACAACTTCATCATAAAAATATTTTCTATCTTAAACAACTTTGCTTTGTAGACAACAACACTTTGCTAGACTAGTCACATCTATCTCCTTGTCTTTTACATATCTTCAAAAGAAAAAAATCACTCTGGTTTACTTATCTTGAAAGTTCTATTCTTAATAATATTCATTGTACTATTACTTTATATCTTCAACCTACTGGTATTAACCTATTTGCATATCAAACTAACTCATTTTCTAAAATTGACAAGTTTTGGGTATTAATCTATTATAACAACAACATTATTATTAGTCAAGTCTGTAAAACTTTCTCTCAATCTAATAAAATCTCTATAACACACTGGCAACACAATATTAATACTTCTACTCTATACTACTATTGCTTATCTTCAATTTCTTGTACTTCTTGCCAGAGTTACAATCTTAACTTCTATTGTATAACTAGTTGTTGCACTCTAGAAGTATTAACTATTCTTTCTACTCACTTTCTTGAAAGAAAGAAAGCTAACATGCAACTTAACCTCAATGCTAATTATATCAACCTTATTTGTTCTACAGATATTAAACATCCTTCATATATACTATCTCTGCCAACTATTAATATTATTGACTTAATTATTTCAAATATTTTTCATAAAAGTAAAGCTTTCAAAAAACTATCTTATATTGCATTTTCTAATTTCTCTCAACATCAGTTTATCTTTTACACAGATAGCTCTGTAAAACAAATTAGTACTAACTATTGCTCTATAGGTATTGGCAAGATTCATGTTCATAATATTCATGTTATCCAAAGCTTTTCTGCTCAAATTTCCAATTATCCTTCCTTCTATAAAGCTGAACTAATTGCAGTTATATTTATTATATTCACACTTCCTTACAATTCTCTTGTCAAAATCTTTACTAACTCATAATCTATTATTTTTAAATTTAACAAACTTCAATCTCTTTTATCTTACTTCTCTAAACTCTTTAAATTTAATGCTTGGCCTATCTGGCACACACTTCTTAATATATTAAAATCCTTCAATATTCAACTTACTTTTTATAAAGTTCAAACACACTTAAATGATCTTTTTAACAATCTTGCTAACCTGCTTGCAAATAACAATTCTATCTTCTCTATTCTACAATTTAATTATACAAATCTCTACAATTCATACTCTACTCTACTTTGGAATAATATCTATATTGAAAGCTCTACTAAATACTTTATTAAAACAATCTACAAAGTATATACTATTGCATTATGGTCCTCACAACAGCATGCTATACTTCAACAATAACTAAAAAATTTCATATAATTTTACTAATTTCAAATTAAATTACTTAAAATTCTTCAGAATTAAATTACTTCTAAATATTTTACTAACTAATTTTTATTTTCATTTAATATATTCCTCTATATTTATAGTTTCTAACTACATTTTTGTAATAGCTTAGATACTCCTTCTTACTAGTATACATGTTCTAATAATACTCTTCTAATTTAAAATATCAATACTTCTATTTATGAGATTATCTCTAATACTAGCCTCAACCTTGCTTTATATCAACTTAACAACTTAATATATACAATTTTCTCTTACTCTTCCTTCAACTCTTTACTTTTTACATTATACTCTTATTCACTTTACTCTATACTTAAAGGCCTTATTTCCAAATTCCTAATCCAATCTCTAAACTCTTTTAATATTCCTTACTCACAAGCTTCACAACTAATTATATAAATACTTCTTAAAATTTTTGATCTTACTTACAACAACATATAGATCTCATATTGTACAAACTTCTTATATTGGAAAAAAGCTTATCAGATTTCTACTTACTCTATACATAATAAACTACTTTATTACTCTAAAATTACAGAAGAAACAAAATTATATCTACTATTGGCTGCTCTTGTAGTTTTGCTAACTATTTATATTCTGAATCCAATATCTGTTCTCTCCTAAAACAGGCTTCTTTAAAGGTAGAAGATATGTTAATCATTTTTCATATAATATTTGTAATACAACATGATTTTTGCAAAAAATAAAAATATGCTACTAATAAAACTTTTCACAGTTATAATTAATTTTTATTAAATTTTGTAGTAAATAAATTAGAATATGTTCTTTATAGTAGTATAAATTTCAATAACTAAAATATTTAAAAAAATATACTTGTATATATTGCAAAGTTTTCTGGTATAACACCAAATTCTCTGGGGTTACTTGAAATCATTAATTTTGATTGTTTCATCATCATATAACAAAAAACAATACCTAAACCTTAAATATATCTATCTTAATGAATATTTAACCAATTTTAATAATTTTACTATCATTAGAATCATAAGAACCTATTCTGCAACTTTTATTTAATTTTCAATAACTTATTAATAAATAAAATACTTTTTATTTTTAAAAGAAAAAAATTTTATCACTGAAGGATGTGGCAACTTAGTGAAGTAGTCAGGTTGTTATACTACCAAGTAATTTCTAGCTAAAGTACAGAGTTCAAATCCCACTAGAGATATTTTTTGAATTTAAATACTAGTGCTATAGTAACAGATCTTTATCAATTAGTTGGGTAAAATACCTGTAACTCTAGTCACACCAATGCACTCATGCATTGGAAGATTCTGGAAGCATCTATAAATATTAAGTTATACAAAAAAATACAAACCAGAATAGGTAGTGCAAACCTACAATAAGACTTTTAAAATGTATAAAACTAACAGAGAGAACTAAAAGATTTGAAACTGGCTTGGCAAGACCTGAATAAGGAGGTAGTAAGGACTTTTAATAGTACTGTAGAACCAAAATAGACTAAACTCGAAATTCAAGAATTTGAATACAAGATTCTCATAGGTTTAGGGTTTTACCAACCTGGCTACTAGAGCACACCGAAGAAAAAGGAGTTGTGCTTTGAAAGCATATACTAAGAGAAGAAAGCTATAAAGCACTTAAAGCTGGGCAGACCAATTCTCCCAGGCTAACTGGTTTGGTAGTTTGAAGAATTAAAAAATACAGTTTAGAAAGAAGATGAGAAACTGGTACTGGAGTCCAAGCAAACCTTACAAGAGCAAAAAGCAGTTAAATGAGATTATATGAAATTAGAGAACTGCAGATAAAATTCTACACTGCAGGATTAGAAACCCAGGATATTAATTGATGGACTTAACAGCATAGTCAAAACTGCAAATAGGGTCTTGGCAACTGCAAAAAAGTAATTGTGAGTAGATATACAAGACCCTAAACCTGGGCTGAGCTTGTGATCATATCTAGTAGATTTAGATCATGAGTAAATTAGAAAAACTATAGATACTTAAATATATCTGTATAGTTAAATTGGTACAAGGTATATTTTAGATATAGATAGTTAAATACATAGCTCTAAGTTTCAAATACAATTAGTTAAATTATATTGTTTAAACAGTAATACTATATAGAGTAATATATATTAAAATTTAATAAAGTATTGAAACCAAAATCTTACCTTAAATAAAAAAAATAAAAAAAAATTTACTACTAAGATTATATAAAAAATAATCAACATGCCTTCTACTCTTAAAGTTGAATATTTGGTCTACTATGTAGATTAAATATAGCATATCTATTAACCATATTCTATCTATCCAAATCTTAACTACTCTAGTAGTTTAAGTCACAGATAATTTTGTCTAAACCTTTATTCTTGTATATAATTTATATTTATTTGTTAGTATACAAATTAAGTTTTTATATGGCTTTATGTAATTATTTATATAAATTATTAAATAAAGATACAAGTAAGACCTCATCTTAATACTAAAAAAAAAATATAAAAAAAAAATAAAAAAATAAATAGAATTAATTTGTCTAATTTCGAATTAATTTGATCTAATTCAATTTAATTGTTATTATAAATTTAAAATAAGCAAACAATAGTAAAAAGTAAACTAAAATATTTATTGTTTTAAATAAATTCGAATTGGTTTGAATTAACTTAAATTGATTCAAATATTTATAATATATAAAAAATGAATATTTCAAATAAAAATTCTTTTTTTTTTTTGGTATTAAGGTGATCTCCTTGGCCTGAGGACATTTTATTAGTAATTATTAGTTATTACAGTTACAATAAAGATACAACTAGCCACATGATGGAATTAATAGATAAATGCATATTCTTTATTTTGCAATTGCATGCTAATTGCCTGGCCTACTTATAAAAACTCCCTCCATAAATATAACTATGTAATTATTGGCCAATCAAAACCATCATTTCTAGACTACTAAAGCCATATTTAATATATGATAATAATAACATTATGATTTTATTA